CCACCCCCTCCCCCCACCCTCCCCAGGCTACCCTCCATCTGCGATAGTGGGCGTGTCCTAACAATGATGTGTACGCAACTGCGTGTCTGCATATCTGCGCCTAACAAATGTGGTACTACGCACGACTGAAATTTTACGTTTATAATCGTAGCAACAGACCTCAGATGAGCCCAGACGCTCTGCGGCTCTTGTTACTTTAGTGAACGGTTTTCGTGGAATTGCTCAGAAAGGTATTATACACGCATGCACGCATGCACGCACGCCACGCACACACACACACACACACACACACACACACACACACACACACACACACACACACACACACATATATATGTATATATAGAAGTATATTAGTGACGCAGCGCTATCGCAACGGCACGTGGTGGGAGTGGCATGTTCTACATCAGTTTTTGTGAAAGCAAGTTGATATACAGTGACACAATAGTAGCAGTGTAATAAAAGGGTAATTTTTGTGAATGTGCAATATTATTTTCAGTTTTTAGTGACTCTGTCTAAAGTCCCTGCGGTACAACCAATATAGATGCAGCTTTATGTGCTAGCAATACTAGCCAATAGCGGATAACACTGTCACATTAGCTTGATCATCTGAGCCTGATCATTCATTGCTTTTGACACGTGCCATCTTCAAAGGATTACTTTAAGTTAAGCTTCTTTGTTTCTGTCTTTCCGTATTGGAATTCTCTCCCTTCCGCTGTACATAGTTTATTGCAAATTTGAGGCATTTTTTACTGCCATCTGCAGTGTTGATAAGCCTATTTGATCAACTTTGTCTCATTCCGTCTTCATTATAGTCTCTTGGACTTTTGAGGATTAATATATTCATGAGGTTTACACAATAATGTTGGCCAAAAACAGGAACAGGGGTACATCTAAATTTAGATATTAAATTATCAATTAACAACAGCAGCGACAGATCTTTGTGGTCATAGATTTAATGTAGTATAGATATCAAAGAGGAATAGTCATACCTATTTTAGTAACCTTGTAAATATTAGTCCTAAAACTTTGAAAGGGACTATTGAAGATGGAAAGAAACAAAGGTGATCAAATTGAGAGATCAACACTGCGAATCGCAGTAAAAAAAGCCTCAAGTTTGCAACTAACTAAAAAGGAAGGAAGAGAATAACTATGAGAGTAATTCTGTAAGTTTTAGGTTAAGCCTTAACCCTGCGCGATGCGGGGGGTTAAGCTAATTACGTCAAGACTCGTGTAGATGCGCGTGAAATCATTAACTCGAGCTAAGTGGTAGTTATCAGTAGACTGAATAGGTGGTGACACATGCAATGTTGACATCCGGGTTACTTCCTTTCCACGACTTTTTAAGATTCACAGATTTGCATATTTGTAACTTTTGGCGATATTTTCAATAATATACGGATCACGGCAGAAATAAATAACTGGGAAAAAGATGAAGTACAAGTTACTCGTTACATGCGTATAATTGCATACCGCAGTAAACCCCATCTCCCACTAGCTGCCGTTAAATTAACTCAGGTTGTTATCTCCAGCGATAAATGTTTGTGCTGTTACACTAGTCGCTCCGCGTTTTGCGCGATCCGCATTTTCTGGTAGCTCCGGCTACCGGACGTCCGGTTGGTTCAGGCCAACAGATTCCGCGTTCTTCTCGTGGCAGTGTCCGTGCGAAGCGGGTGCTTTTTCTGGTGCTCCTGCTTAACCCCGTCCAACCGATCTGAACGCGAGTTATTTTCTGTTATATGAACGCGGATAGTTGCATATTTGGTTGGAGACTTATCGCGTGTGCAAAGTTGTTAGTTGTTAGCAGTGTATTGGTGATACCCATGTAATGTGCGACCTGATTTCATTATTGTGTTTGTGTGTGTAAATTTAAAGCTGTGGTTTCTATGTATTACAGTTTACCATCGTTACGCCACGTCATGCGTCAATACATGCGTAGAAAATAAAATGGCTGACTGAACCACAGCCTGAGCCTTCGTCTTATTCCTCGTCTCGGTCGGCGCACATCACACAGGTTAAGACAAACTCTGTTTAGACGATGCATGTTTCTGAACTCGGGTTAAGTGTTAACTCGGGTTAAGGTGACTCCGTGTAGATGAGGCTTTAGCTCTCGCGTATATGTGCAGTAATGCAAGTTTCGTGTACCTCCTTTTGAAATTGTCGAATTATAACATGAGTACCGGGGGAAATACCAGTTGAGATGTGTGCCATGTGTGAGAGTACACTTGCAGCATGTAACAAGTTAGGTCAAATGGGATAATAAGAATCTTTGAATTATGCAATTTTTGGGTTTTTTAACGCTACACAGGTTTTTCCGTAAAATAGGGTCAGGCTCCTATAATGTGAAAGTCATAGAGCCCCTGGCCTACCGCTGGCATTCACCACCTTCGCAAAATGCGATAAATAAATGCCAGTGGCGATTTTATTACACTAAGTGTCGAATACAATTATCGAATTATTTAACTGCTTACTAAATTACGGTTGAACGTATTTGTTGTGTACTTGTTGAGTACACACGTGTACTTGTTTCTAGATCCCCAAAACAAATGCAATGCTCCTAAATGTCTTTCAACAATTTA